TCAAGATGAAAATCTTAAGCTTAAGGCTGAACTTGAAGTTGTGCTTTCCCAGTTGGAGGCCCTTCGAGATGAGGTGAAAAACGGCGGTCAATCGACGCTGAGCTCAGGTACACAGGACCCGGCAAAGGACAACCCGGACAGTACAAGCGATATGTGGACCTTGATCGGCGATGTTTGCGATAAGTTCCAGGTGCCTCTTGCATCTTTATTCGCCGATCAGGTGGACCAGAATGTTGAAGTGGCTAAGGTGATGAGCGATATCGCAGAACAGCTGCTGAGAAAAAAAGACCCGAAGCAAGCCCTGGAAGCAATACTGGGGGACAGTGCCCCAAAATTCTTTAAATCCGTTCGTGTGCCCGATTGGACGTTGCTTTACTTCAAGCTGCAGCCCCGGATCCCAGACCAAGGATGAACTAAGGTAAATCATTTTGTATTGCCAGTTAGTGTGTTTGATTAAATTGGCGAGTGGGGAAAATCTGCCACCCCTGTATTTAAATTCTGGTCAACTTTATCCGTTTCTTTTGGAGGTCAAAATTTATTTAATTATGATATAATAAAACAATATACCGATACAAAGTACAAAGATAAATAGAAAAATAACAAACAGAAATATTGTTTTTCCTCTTTCTTTTTTTATTGCTAAACTTTGTCAAGGGCATGGCTAGAGGGGTTCCTGAGGTGCCCCTGACCCCCCACCCCCCTTTAACCATACCTCATCTTACTAAAATCATTTTCACTGATGAGCAGTGTGACTAAAATAGAGTAGTTTATATTAGAACTCAAACTGTAACTTGATCTCAGTATTTTTATTTCACAAGACATGTCTTTCCTTACCTAAACATTTATTTGTGCTCTTATCATTATTGATGGATTCCACATTATATTATAATCATTCTATTACCATTTTACATTTTAATGGGTTCATTGATCTGTAATGCCAGGGATGGAAACTTAATTTTGACAGCACTGGCCATTGGGTGAGTGCCTTTAATAAATGCAACAAAAAGCCTAGGATTTTTACTTGCCCAAGTAGTTTGACACTCGCCTGGGAAAGTGGGCAAGTGCTAATTTCCAAACCTGTAATGCCTTTTTTTATTGATTCATTAAGATATTGTTATGTCTGCATTTGTTTATCTAGACGAAATCTGACATTCCACTTCTTCTGAACAAGAATCACATAAAGGCTGTGCGCAAGATGATTTTTCATGTTGTAAAAAAGGCAATGGGCATCGGCCCCTTGCCAGATGGAGCTCCTCGGGGATATCAGGTTAACCTTTCTGCTGCAGTGGCTTGGGCAGCAAGGGAAACAAGACTGCATCAGCCTGACCAGCAAACCCTTGAGCTTAATCTTAAGCTAGATGGGAGACCATTTTTGGTTAGTTTTTTCTTGTTACATATCTAAAGGGCAAATTTAGCATTTTACTTTCTATAAGCTGTCTGATATAATTATCAAGATCACCCCAAGCTACCCTACAACATCAAGTTCCCGTTTTGAACCTCTGCCATTGACAAATAAAGCAATTCCGAAAATCACTACCTGGTACGTATTTATACTAATAGTGCAGCATGCAGTGTATTACTGAGAAAACAACCCAACATTTATGAAGCCGCCTATTTTTCATTTGTTCTTGCATGTCCTGTTAAGGACAAGTAATAATAAGTAATCATAGTGTCAGATAATATTCCTGTTCTTGCATCCTTCTACAGGTAGGCAGCAAGTCATCCTATCAATGTCAGTCATGCATCAAGTGAGAGCTGTAAAAGTGTCTACCCTATAGCAATTGCAAATTGTGAGGAAAACAGGTGATAATAATAATATTTAGGTCTTCAATGGCTAAAATATCACTTTAAGAAATGCATTTAGCAGACTGCTAAATGCACTATTATGATTTCATAATTTAATGCCCATCATTAAGTTAGGAGTTCAATTAAATGAGTTTAAACTGTTTTTTTTTTCTGTAGGATCAATGTTGAAGCCCTAATGAAGGAAATCAATGCCCAAAAAAATGCCATCAAGAAAAATGGAATAACTATTGATGGAAGACACTTTAAAGTCAAATTTACAGGTGATTAAATATACTTTCCTAGGCCACTGTAGGGCCAAGGAAAAATATCCAGCTTATTGCTGGAGTTCCTTTATATATTGAAGTTATATTTATTTTCAGAATTACATGTATTTCTTTCTTCTGTTTGCTATTAAAACATGTAACTTATAATAATGATATTGTAGAATACCTCCATCTGCTGAATTTGTAAGTGCCTAAT